AAATAAAGTGTAAGGACTGAACCAATATACCAAATTTGGACCGTGGTCGAGGTTCAATAATATAACAAAATGACTAAAAAAATAAATCTCCGCGATTAACTCGGAATTTTCCGAACGAGTCAAACGATCAATTATATCAGCAAGCATATAAATATATAATACGAGCATAATAATAAGGCATAGAAAAATAAGATAAAAGCTGATAAATAAATAATCTAAAAATTGCATAATTCGAACAACGACAGTGAACGATCAACGATTGGCGAAAATTAAAATATTTGAACGACGTATGAACTCACAAACACGAAGTCGAACCAAGATCAAAATAAACTCACGCGATCAATAAATATCCTACGATACGATGCACGCACTTAAATTTGCAACGACGGCGAACAATATACCATCGATGAAAAATAATAAATAATTCCACTAATTGGATTAATTAGACGAAGCCATACTATTTATCGAGATAACTTATACGAGGGCTCACAATTCGATAATAACACAAGTAGACAATAATGCCTACGAAAAATTGATCGACATGAGAGAACATCAAAACGAGGATATCTAAAATAATCCGCCTTAGCTAAAATGAGGATTTTAGCCGAGCAAAATACCTAAAATATAAACAAGGCGAAAAATCTAAAATGTGCTAACTCATCTAAAATGAATGGGGTGCTACAATCTACCCTCCTTAAATGATTATGTCCTCGGAAATTCCACGAGAACAGACGACTCATAGGAAGAACACAATCACGGAAGAATTTCAAATTCTAAAAGTCGAATACCACTCCCTCAACTCGCCTTCGCTCTCCCGAGTCGCCTCACCCACGCCGAAGCGGCTCCTCTTAGACTTTGACGAGTATTATAACCGGTTCCTCGACTGGTGGGCCCTCTGTCCTACCACGGCCATCGGTACCTCCTCATAGGTAAGGTTCTGTCCATAACGCAGCTCGTCAAAGTTTACTACGTGTCCCGGGAAAATGCACACAACTCCTTCACTCGAGGTGTACAATGTGCTGTGCAACCCCAAAAGCTCCAGTAGTAAGGACAACCGTTAGGCTAGGTCATACACTCTATCAGACTCTATAGGGGCTAACATCACACAACAACGACTCTCTTCTCTCCCCAAAACTAAGGTGTCCTACACCTCTTTCCATACGAATACCTCGCATCGCATCAATCAAGACACAAGACTCTCATCGGCCTCTCGGTGGATTGACAACATGCTACGATCATCTAACATCTGGGGTTGCTTTGTGGTGTCAAGTTTCAGTATCGTGCCCGGGTCACGCTGAAAACTTGTCCACAATCTCATCATAAACCGTGCGCCTCCATCATCACGATCGACACGGTACCCCATACTATCAGTCTAACCCCCATAATACTATTCCTGTCAGCTCGCCCTCACTGCCCGTGACCGTACGCTGGCGCTCATTTTGTGTCCATGTTGTACGTCGTGACACTCCCACGCCAACAACTCGCTCGCACCTCCCGTCTCGAACTCAACTCTACCGTTCCAGCCCCGCGTCCGTACGTCAAGCCCAGCCCTCGCCCCTACCGTAGCTCTCGCATCCGTACGCGTGTCAAAACTAGCCAGCCCACTCCCACCGTCGACGAGCCCGTGCCAACACCGATCCCTGTCCATACGCCCATTGCCAGCAAGCTCCCTTGTCCGTACGCCCGCGAGCCATTGCGCGACAAGCACGCCCGAGCTGCACTCGGTCCATGTCTGAACCAGCACCCACATAATCGAGCCCAACCGTGCAGCCCTGCACCATAACCAAGGTCCTCACCATAAATTCGAGCCTCCCCAGTCCCAACCCAACCAGCTCCAAGCCTGTGTCACATTTCACTAGCCCTAGCCATCTTCTTATTTTCGTTTGGGTCCCTTTCAAGGGTATAATTAATGGCTGAACCCATACTCCATGAGCTTAGAAAAGTATTTTAGTTAATTTTAAAAATGGTTTGGCATCAATTTATGTGAGATATGAATTTATATGGATTTATTGATTTATGGCTATAAAATCATAATAAATTGAGTGTTTATCCAAAAATAATAATTATAAATTTATAAATCATATATTGATGTCTTGAGGCTTAGGTTAAAATTTGGTGAATTTTGGAGTCCGTTTGCTATGTGAACCGGATTTTTTAATCTAGAGCCAAAATGCCTGATTTTAGCTGAATGAGTTAGAAAATTTATTTGGATATGATAGTTTTACCAAAAAATCTTATATATGTTGATGTTATTATGGTTAAAATTTCGTGATTTTTGGAGATCATTTGATATGGTTTAAAATTTGGGACTCCAGCCTTATTTCGCGATATTTTTAGAAATTGATCCGGTTGTGATTTAGCTGCAGCTTTTAGATGTAAAATCTTTATAAATTATGTTGAACTTAGGGTTAAAGTTTTAGCTTAAAATAATTAGGTTTGACCGATAGTAAACCTAGTTCGACTTTTTTGAATATTGAGTAAATTTTTAGATCCGAGTTGCGTCCAACAAACGAATGACCGGTCGAACCCTATCGAGCAGCCGGTCCAGTTCAATCGAACCAGTCTAGACGGTTCATAAAATTTCCAGTTCAGCCGAACAAGTCCGGACGGTTCGTGAAATTTCCAGTTCAACCAAACTAGTCCAGACAGTTCGTGAAATTTTTTATTCAGCCGAATCAATTCGGGCAATCCAGACGATTCGAGAGTTTCAATTCGAAATATTAGTTTGAGCGTGAACTGAGATTTTAGTATATTCTGAACCAAGTCAGATTCAGTTTAAAACAGACAAATTAACTCCGGACTTTTTTTTTTTTTTTTTTTTTTTTTTTTTTTTTTTTCTGAGCCTAGCTAGTTCAGATAAAGCCAGATTAAGTTTTAGTCAAGAATATAATTCCATACTTAGAAATATTTCAGAGAACTCTAGAAAGCCTCGAGACAATAATTTTTAAGATTTGCTCGTAAAACTTCTAAAATGAGATTTAAATGATTTTAAAATCCATTGAGCGTACCTAGTAATATCAGATAGTGAGAATGAATGTTTTTAGATTGAGCTTAATACTTAAAATATTTTGCTCAAATATTGTGTAGCTTAAGAAGAGTCGAGCCTCCGACAGTTACCATTCATCCCAGCACCTGCTTAGCAGTCTATTAGGTGGGGGTCACGTACTGTGTACCACACTGTCACTTTACCATGTTCGAGGTATGTACGAGTAAGTTATATCAACCAGATTGGAGGCACAACCAGTCTTAATGATCCATTCTAGGTTCCAGTTATATCAACCAAGATAAAGGTACAACCAGTCTTAATGATCAATTCTAGGTTCAAGTTATATCACCCAGGGTGGAGACACTATCAACCTTAATGACCCATCCTAGGTTCTGGTGGAGGCACATCCAACCTTAATGTTCCATCAGAGTGTGCACATGATTTACGCCCAGGGTGGAGGCACAACCAACCATAATGATCCATCTTAGGTTCTGGTGGAGGCACATCCAGCCTTAATGTTCCATTAGAGTGTGCAGATGATTTACCGGCACAGCCACCGGGAGTTAGTAAAACAATTCAGTTCAATTTAATTCAGTTCAAAGCAGTTCAATTTAATTTAGTTCAGTTCAATTTAATTCAATTCAGTTCAATTTACTTCAAGTCAGTTCAGTACAGTTCAATTTAATTCAGTTCAGTTCACTTTAGTTCAGTTCAAATCAATTAATTACTTATATGCTTAAGTCTTGATATTGTTATTATGGATGTTGTTTACTCAATGTCGATTTCTGCGGAGCATAGTGGTGCACATGAGCACTCGTGGTGGTCGTGGTCATGAGCTTAGTGGACATTTTGACACATATTTTATGTCATATATGATGAACATGTCGTTTATAATATGCGTGTGTTTATTATGCTTTAGCTTCCGCATTTTCAGGCCTAGTATGAGATTATGAGAACTTCATACTTGTGCATGTGTAATGCCCTTATATTTATGATATCTTTATTAAATGGATTCGATTCGGTTGCATGTATTATTATTGTCTGATGAGAAAAAGATAAAAATAGTAAGTTTAGTAGCATCCCTCAAACCATTTATAGTATTTTCGAAAATAAAGTTAGTGTTTTTTGAAAATAAAAAACAAAAAATGTAACTCTGAATTTTACAAATTTAATTATAGAAGGCGGGGTGTTACAATATCTGGTGAAATAGTCTTGTCAAATCTAGAGAGAATCGACAATACAACATGACATTGTGCTCAATAAAACTTCACATGATAACACAAACCTTGAACAACAAGTGAAATGATTCACTTTTCGTGCTAAATAAAACTTCACATAACTTAAATTCACTTTTTTAAATTATATATATTCTTATTTATTAAGTTATCATGCGGGGTGTTACAATATCCTGTGAAATAGTCTTGTCAAATCTAGAGAGAATCGACAGTACAACATGACATTGTGCTCAATAAAACTTCACATGATGACACAATCCTTGAATAACTGGTGAAATATTTCACTTTTCGTGCTAAATAAAACTTCACATAACTTAAATTCACTTTTTTAAATTATTTTTTTTCTTATTTATTAAGTTATCATTTATATTTTACTCTATAGTTTTAATTACTTTCTCTTTACTATATATCATTTTTCGTGCAAATACACAACGTCAAACTAGTTTTATCCACAATCATTGGGTCTATATACATGCCATGTAACCCTAAAGTATAATCTATATGCGTTTTTCTTCGAAACACCAACACGCTTACTAATGATCTCGCGTTCTTCCACACCCTCGCGGCCGATGGTTTTCCAGCTTTCCTCGTACAGGTGACTTCACCGCCTCCTGATTCACTCTCAACAATTTTGTGCTCTGTGTACTCGTATGCATCTACATGTTTGCTCCATAATATGCATAATTCTTTGAACCTTCATTTTTCCTTGCTTTCTGGGTCTTGAATTTAACTGCGGACATTATCGCATAAGACCCAATTCTGAAGCTACTCTGGCTGTTATGGCGTTAACAAGGATGACGAAAAACCTTCTTTTGAAACCATATTTTCGTTTTCAATCCCAAAATCCCTTCTCTGTCAAAACATTATCAGCAATTGCAAGCTCAGCGGACCAAGAATCAGACTGTTTGGAATCCCAAATCAGAGGTTTATGTCGGAATCCTACCTCCATTGCCGATTTGAAGAAAGCTTTCTCAATGTATGAGCAATCTTTCAGTACGGGCCTCGGTCCTTCGGGATTCACGGGCGAAGTTCTTTTGCAAAACCTTGCCAAGAAGAAAGAGTACGAGATGGCTTTTACTGTTTACAAGAAAATTACAAGTGCTGGGGCTTTGCCCCAATTTATGTCTTTGTCCGCTTTGGTTGAATGCTTGGTCCATTTTTGTGTGCCCGAGTTGGCTGTGTCAGCGGTTGGTTTGATTGTGAAGCGCGGGTATGTCGTCAAAGCATACATTGGGAATGTGGTGTTGAATAGTTTCTGTTGTAACGGGTTTGCTGATAAGGCCGAGGTCTTTCTCGGCGAATTGGAGCGAAATTCTGTTCTTCTAAATGCAGATAGTTACCATATCTTGATAAAGGGATTCTGCCAGGTGAGGAAATTAGGCGATGCCTTGCGTGTAATAAAAAGAATGGAATGTGCGAATATAGCTCCTGATGACGTCGCATACCATATTCTGATGAGAGCCCATTTTGCAGAAGGTCGTGTGGATGAGGCCACTAGATTATTTGAGGAGATGAGAGAAAAAGGTTTGGAACATGAGGTTTCTTCATATGGCATTCTTATAAATGGCTTTTGTAACAATGGGGATGTTGATCGAGCGAATGAGCTTTTTGATGAGATGTCGGGTAAAGGAATTTCTCCAAACTTGGTCGTATACTCGTGCTTAATGCGCGGGCACTGCCAGAAGGGTAACCTGAAAGAAGCCAAGCGGTTGTTCAATGATATGGTCAGAAGCGGGATTCGCCCTGATGTGGTCACATTCACAGGCATGATAGGCGCTCTCTGCCAACACAGAAAACCCGAGAAAGCCTTGGAGCTTTTCAATTTCATGATCGAAAAGGGAGAAGAACCCAATATTGTAACATACAACGTTCTGATTAATGGATTATGCAAGGCAGAGCTTTTGGATGATGCTTTCAAGATTCTTGAAATTATGGCCAAGAAGGGCAAGAAACCAGATCTCGTGACATACAATACGGTTATGGGCGGCCTCTGTGAACTCGGGAAGGTCGATGTTGCCGTGAAACTTTTCAACTCGATGACATCGGACGAGAGCTGCGCGGGGCCCGATGCGTGGACCATTTGTAAGCTTGTCCAAGGCCTGTGCAGAGAAGGCCATCTGAGGAAGGCCGAAAAACTCAGTCTTGAGATGGCCAAACAGAGGAAAATCGACGTGGCCCCGTATTCCGTTCTGATCGGAGCTTATCTGAAGGAAAGAAATGCCAAGAAAGCGATGAGGCTCTGGAGAGAGTTAGTCCCGCTCGGGTTAACCCCCGACTTGATGATGTACGGTGCTTTCATAAACGGGCTGTGCAGATGTAATCTCTTAAACATTGCAAAAGGAATCTTTACTAAAATGAAAATCAACGGACCAAATCCTACTTCGTTTTGTTATAATGCATTGATGGCTGCACTGTGCGGTGAGTCCAGCTTGGAGCAAGCAAGAGCGTTGTTTAGGGACATGCTTGAAAGTGGGTGTAGTCCTGATGTCGTCTCGTACAATATCATGATAAACTCCACCATAAGGGCTGGGGATATTCAATCGGCTAATAATATGAGCGTCGATATGCAGCAGAGGGGTTTGCATCCGGACGTCTCGACATTTTCGATGCTCATCAACAGGTTTTCGAAGTTGGGGCTAATGGAGGAGGCTAAGAGTTTATTTCAGAGAATGAAGTCGTGCGGTTTTGCACCGGATGTCTTTGTTTTTGATTCTTTACTCAAAGGGTTCAAGGCCTCTGGCAAAATGGACGAAATAATCGACCTGCTTCACGAGATGGCGAAATCGGGGGTCGGTCTCGACGATGAGCTGACCTCGACTATCTTGACTTGTTTGTGTGATATGCCGGAAGGACGTGATGTAGCTAAGATTCTGCCGAGTTTTACGCAGGAGGGACTGAAAGGGAGTAGCTTCTCGTGTGATGAACTGTTAACGAGGCTCCAGAATGTTATTCCCGCGCTTAAGACTTCTTCGTCGGTGCAGCTGAAGAAACATAAAGCCGTTCCATATATTTTTATAGGATATTGAGTGCCTCCTCTATTGACAGCTGCCTGGCCTTCGATTGTGCTATGAGAATAAAGGTAATCTCTCTCTTCCATTGTTTCTTACTGGTTTATTTTTCACATGTGAAACTGCAGTACTCTTTTAAGCTGCTTTGCCGTGCACACCATTAGAAAATTTTTTACCAGCTCTTTTGAAGCTTGTCTTCACATTTTGCTAATTTGATGGAACTTGGCTTTCTTGAAACATGTATGGACCTCGGTTAGCGATGCTACTAATTTTTTTTCATTTGGTGAGAGTCAGTTACATATATGCTGTGTCTTATGTCTGTTTTTTCTGCACTATGGTGTACCTAAAGATGGCTATATTATGATTTGGGTTCTCGTTTTCCAGTGAAAATGCTCGAGACCAAGAAAAGTTGCCAAAGATTGCAGATTTTGCTGGCTCTATGTATAGCTGTCCCCAGAACAAATATCATTGTGTGAAAAAAATAATAACTGGAGAGAGAGAGAGAGAGAGAGAGAGAGAGAGAGAGAGAGAGAGAGGGTGCAAAAAGACGTGTGTATAATCAAAATAACCGCGCTCAGAAATTTTGTAAGAAGCAGATGCTGGCATTTTTTTGTACCACAATACGATAGTTTCCTTTGTAATGATGTTTTGTAACAAAGCAAAATGAATGTTGCTTGTCCAGATTTCTAGTTTGCTTACTTGCAGTCTCAGATAAATAAATACTACTACCTCCTATATTAAATAGATGTCGTTTTCGGATGTTGCACATCTATTAAGAATATTTTTTTTTATCAATAATAACCTTATTTAATGAATATAGAGATGAATGTTTTGAGAAAAAGATGAAGAGTGATTATGAAAAGACGTGATGTATTTATTAGCTAAATGAGGGTAATAATGGAAAAATATGTACTCCCTCCTATTCAAAATAAATGTCGTTTTGAGAAGTTGCACAATAATTAAGAATATTTTTGTTGTCAATAATAACCCTATTTAATGAAGATAGAGATGAATGTTTTAAAAAAAATGAAGAGTGAATATGAAATGACGTAGTGTATTTATTGACTCAATGAGGGTAATAATGGGAAAAACATGTACAAAAGAT